GCCCGGGGGCCGGGAGCCCGGGAGCCGCCGTCCCGCCGCCCCCATCCAGACGATCGCGCCCGGCTCCGCGGCCCGCCTCCCGCCCGCAGGCCCCGGCCACCGCCTACCTACGCCGGCCCTTCGTCTGTTATTGTGGTCGAGAGGGAGGGAAAATTGCGACCGATGCTTCCCGCGGCCCCCACCGCCGTGGTACTTCCGCTTCCGCCGCCGCTAGGGCACTTCCGGTATGTGGTCATCCAGGGCTGGGTGCGCACCGGCGTCCATATTGGGTGTGGGACACGGGCGTCAGTGCGCCGGAGCCATGTTGAGAGTGGCCTCCCAGCGTGGGGACACACAAACACACACCTGTCACGTGACAGCGTCGCCGCGGCTGCAGTCCCACGCTGGGCACATATCCAGGGCTCTGGCGGTTGCAGCCAGCCGTTTGGACTGAGAACCGGAAGCCCGTAGTGGGCCATGCACCGCAGGATTAGGGCAGGATGGAGGTGGGTCAAGGGAGAGTTCCTCCCCTCCCTGCAGAGAGACCACAATCAAGCACTTGACCTGTAAGCCTCAGGCAGCGGTTCTCAACCTGTGGGTCGCGACCCCTTTGGCGGTGGAACGACCCTTTCACAGGGGTCGCCTAAGACCATCCTGCGTATCAGATATTTACATTACGATTCATAACAGTAGCAACATTACAGTGAGGAAGTAGAATGAAAATTTTATGGTTGGGTCACAACATGAGGAACTGTATTGAAAGGGCCAGAAGGTTGAGGACCACTGTGTGAACATGGACATCGTTATGGCCCCTATTTAATCAACCTCTGCAGAACGTAATGGCTTCACACAGTGGATTATGGTTCTGCCGAGCTTCTGCGGGTGGACTGGGCTCCGCTGGGCAGTTTCAGTCCGGGTCTCATCCCTGCGCGGGTGGGCAGAGGTCCGCGGAGACCGCAGCTGACTTCCGGCGGAGTGGGTGGTGCGTGCTGGCTGCTCAGGCGGCAGCGTGGAGGAAGGAGCTCAGCTGCAGCTGTGGATCCAGGTGCCTGCAGGCGCCCTCGCCCTCCGAGTGGGTTTGTCACAGCCCAGCGCTCGGGTTGGAGGAAGCCCTCGGGAGCGGGGGGCGCTACAGGACAGGCTGAGGTCCAACCTGGAAGCCCCCGAGCCTGCTCTGTCCCATCTCCGGGCAGGGAAGCCACCGAGCCCGCCTGGAGCCACGGGAGAAGGAAGGGCTTCACCTCTTACTGACGGAGTGGCAAAGAATGTGTAGCCATCTTTAATTTACCAGACCACCTCATTTATTTTTTTAATTCTTTTTAGACATATGTAGATTTTATTAGCACAGGTATCAAAAAGGAAGGCTGGGCGCTCCACCAGTAAACAGTCTTGAGTGCACATGAATGATGCTTTACATGATTTTTTTCAAATTGTGGTAAAAAATGTAACAAACATGAAATTTACCACTTTAATCATTCTCAAGAGTAGCATTAAGTATACAGGGTAGGGCAAACATAGGATTACAGTTGTGAGGACGTGAAACACACGGGTTATTCTAGTATTTTCCATGCAACTGTAAACCTACTTTGCCCCACCTGTATCACTTACGTTGTTGTACGACCACATCACCGGCCACCTCCAGAACTTTTTCATCTTCCCAAATTGAAATTCTGTACCCACTAAAGGGCAACTCCCATTCTCCCCACCTCCACCCCCTACTCCCATGCTACTTTATGTCTGTAGGTATCTCATGTAAGTGGAATCATACAATATCTGCCTTTGCTGTTTTGCTTCTTTCACTTAACATCATGTCTTCAAGGTTCATTCATATTGTACCATGTGGAAGAATGTCCTCTATTTTTAAGGCTGAGTAATACTCCATTGTATGTACATTCCACATTTTGTCTACTCATTAAAGGATGGACATTTGGGTTGCTCTTCCACCTCTTGACTATGGTGAATAATGCTTCAATGCATATGAGCAAATATCTCTTCTAGATCCAGCTTTCCATTCTCTTGGATGTATGCCCCAGAGTGGGGTTGCTACCTTTAATTTTTCCATAGCATCTATACCATTTTATAGTCTCACCAACAGTGTACAAGTTTCCATATTTTTTTACATTCTTGCTCTCATTTGTTTTTTTGTGGGTGATGTTTGTAATCCAATTAGAACAGTGCCTGGCATACAGCAAAACCCCACAAAGATTAGCTGTTATTATTTGGTTATTCACAGGTCTCTTGTCCTTCCTTTCTTCTCAGCTACAGTTGAAATTGCAAAGGCTGATTTCTCAGCATGTGATATTTCTGAAGTGCACTTTTAAAACATCCTAAGTTTTTCCATATTACATTAGGACATCCTGTAAACTATATTGTACATAGGTATAGTATAGAGAATTGCAGTTTTAAAACCAAACACAAGGCAGATTAGGCAAAAAAAAAAAGAAGAAAGAAGAAGAAGAAGAAGAAAGAAAATATATTGCATGGGAGGCTTTTATAAACATGAGCTCTGAGCGAGCATTAAGGAACAAGCCTTTGCTTTTCATTTTTTTAATTTGGACTATACTGCAGAAGATCAAGGTTATGTTATCAAAAAGTGAAAAGATTAAGGATGAAACTTAGGAAACTCAGCAAGCTTTTTTTTTTTTTTTTTTTTTTTTAACAGTTAACCTTCCTGTGTTTTTCCTGTCACTACATGTAGTGCAAGTCTTTTATCCTGATCTCTAGAGGGATGAGAGTAAAGAAGTTATGCTTTAGGGAGAAAATCATTTGAAAAGCTATGAGCTATTCACCATCAGCCAACATCTACTAAAAGACTGTAGTGGATCTGGGAATGTATTCCACACCAGAGCTGAAGAAATTACTAGGAAACAGTCTCTGCTCCTAGGCAGGCCAGGAGACCTTATCTACAAAGAACACTTCAGTGAAATTTGGGAGATCCTGGTACAGTGGTATGTCAGAATGTCAAAGCAGCACAGAAGGTGCTGAATCAGTCCAGTGTTCATGCATCTGCACTTGAAATAATTGCAAACACCCTCTTCAACTCACCTTTCCTCCTCCCATAGGCTTCTTGGTCACTCCTTCACTGTGCCTCTCTCTTTCATCTGGCTTTAGCTTCTCCTGCAGAAATCCTTATTTTTACTTGTGTATGTTTTGCTTTTGTTTATGCATTCTTTTAATCATTTTAATGTCACTCTACCAATCATTTTATCATTTTAATTATCATCACATTTAATCCCTATGAACTCTGACGTAAGTATTGCTTGCCCCATTTATAGGTAATGCAATTCATGTTCAGAGAGGTTAAGTATTTTTTTAAATGTCACATGGCTAGTAAAGTGAAGACAATTATTGTGAAATCTGAGCAACCTGACTTCAAAACTCATATTCCTAATTACTAAATGGTGCACTGCTGCAATTTCTTTTCTCCAAATGACAATCCGATAAAGCATTGTGTAAATTGTGTCCATGGCTCCTTTTTGCCTTAAACCTCAAAGTGTACACTTGTAACTTGTTAATCAGACATCCAAGGCCCAAAATGCTTTGGTCACAGCCTACCATTTCAATCTCATTTTCTTTCACAAACATCATGTCCCAGCTGCACACAGGACTCCACTCACATACCCTATGATACTCGTGCCCTTGGCCGAGGGAACAAATTGCCCCCTTGTAGGCAAAAGGTGAGTGAACCTCGTTCAGCTGGTGCAAGGAAAGAAGTGGAGGATGATGGTGAACTGGGCCCATATAGATGTGCCCAATACTGGGCCAGAAAAGGATGGCTCTTAAATTCCAAAAGTAGCCCAGTCAGCGTGCCTGGGTAGTTGAGTGTCAACCTATGAACCAGGAGGTCATGGTCAGGGCACATGCCTGGGTTGCAGCTTGCTCCCCAGTGGGGAGTGCAGTAGGCAGCTGATCAATGAGAGCATCATTGTTTCTATCTCTCCCTCTCCCTTCATCTCTGAAATCAATAAAAATAGTTTTTAAACATATTCCAAAAGTAACAGGGAGAAAAAAGGTGTAGTTTTCAAAAGCCCATTGTATTGTGAGCCTGACAGGATTTAATTATTCATTTAATATTTCCTGAGGGCTTGCTCTGGGGGTTGGCATTGGACTAGGCCAAGGAAACAATTGTGAAAAGTTGATGTTTCTGCCTTCAGTTTGGCAAGGGGACAGACAATCAATTAACCATACAGGCGAATCCATTTCTTAAAAATAAATACATAGGAGGTTGGCACACGGTTAAGTTTCGTTGAGTGAAGAAATTAATGAATGGATAAATCTAATATACTTAAGTTTTCCTTTTAAGCATTTAAGTTTAACAAACAAACCTGTTTTTAACAAACAAACCCTTTCCAAATATATGTCTGTTTAAACCTATAAATATGGCAAATGATAACTTCTCAAAATGCCAATTAGAGTCTTAATAAAATTCTTATTCTTTCAACTTAAAATTCTAAGTTTAAATAAATACTCAAAAATCTCAAATCAGAATCATAAGCTTCATCATTTTCTTTAATATGCTATCGTTTCTTAAAATGTGACAAATAGTTTAAATGAAAATTATAGACTTTCTTAACCCATAATGTAGATGTGATTTAATCCTTATTTCTAAGCTTAAATTGAATATTTTGGGGGTTATAAGACAATCACTTAAAAAGCCATTCTATTTCCTGCGTCTGGGGATTGCAATTGCATATTAATTGGAGGGGTATTTGGCTGGGCTTCAGGATTCCCTTCTCACTCCCAACCCTTTTCTTTTTGGCCCCTGGCTGGAAGGACACATGCCTGGGGTGGTAGCAGCCATTATCTCATCATGTATATGTAGTGAGTACAGGAGATGATGAAATCAGCATTTAACGAAATTCATAGACTAGCAAAGGGCAGAGGTGGAGAGTAAGACTCCTGGTGTTGCTTAAGTCTGTGGATACTGCTGTGTTTTAATTAAGACCCACCCTGGCTCACCCTAATTGCATGAACCCACACATTTCTTGTTTGGCTAAGCTAAGTTTCAGTTGGATTTTCATCACTCTTAACCAAAAGAATCCTGATATATTTATTATGCTGCATAAACCATTATTATTCTCCAATATTATCCCAGATCTTCAGAAATTCTTTTACTCTAATAGCCTTGAAAGTGCTTGAGGAATGGAAGGAGATGGGGAGATTCTAACATGCACCAAAGTGGTGGAGAGTGGGGCGTCAGTCTCGGAAGGTGAAATGAGGGGCTGATGGAGAACTCCTCAAAATTATGGAT